GAGAGAGATAAAGTAACGAGCGAAGGAAACAGAGAGTTGATACCATTTAACGTTTTCGTGTTGGGCTGAGCTAGCTCACGCACCTTTCGCGGACGGATGTTGCGCGCGTATACCACACACAATTGCCATTGCAGCAGTACCAGCTCTCGCGCAGCAACAGCCAGGAATTCCAACCTTCGAAACTTGTAATAATAACCAGGAAGGAGATGGCGAAGATTCGATTCTTCGTATCTGATATGATTGAAATGAGATATCGACGTGCGCACAGCTCTCAAACGCACGAGACTGCAGCGTACATTTCGGCCCATAGGAAAAAGTCCAAAAAATTGCATTATTAAAATAAGAGAATCGAATTGGAAAAAAAGTGATCTCCAGCATCGATATCTGCATGCGTATATGTACGCCTAAAAGACCGCAACACACACGCACCCATCCGTCGGGTCATTATCGAAGCGATATAAACTGCGTAAGTATATAACTCCTTTCGACTTTGTCCGAAGTACGTACAGTATACACACCCTGCCTACACAAAAGCTATACAATTGTGACTGCTCTTTCTCGCGCGCGCACCTCGAGTTCTCCCCTGCACGGGCGAGCTCGCACACGCGTATAGGCCCCTCGGCTCGATCTTTCTCTTCTTAACGGCCAGCCGTTATGTGTGCAGCACACAGACACATACACGCATCCCCTCGCGCGCGCGGGCTACGGCTTTAACGAACCGCAAACGCGTTGCTTTAACGACGTCGTTAATATTGAACCGAATATATCCGTATACGCTGGACGTTGACATGCTAGAGGTGTATATTTACGTACATTCTTCTCCCGTAGCACGACCTCTGATGTGCGGTCCAAAGAGAGAAGCGGCGGCGGCGGTCCGGCACAGCGCGAGCAAAAATGAAACGGGCTGAACGAGTGCGCCGCAGAGTCTGCCCGTTATATTCATGGACAAGATTGAATTAGAAATACGATATTTCATGCAGCTTTACCTCCTACATATCTACCTGAGTCGCGGCTCTCTGTATATACGTACGCGTACACGTGCTGCGCGCACAGATTAATATAATACGAGACATAATGAGCAGCGCAATGTATGCGAATACGTACATAATATACATTTTATAAAGGCGCAGTGATGAAAGAGCCGATGAGCTCGTAGCACCTGCCTCGGATTCTCGTTGACTTTTTTACGATAAAGGCATATTATGCGCGAATTATACGAAACCCATCATCACTTATCGAATATCCTTGTAAACGACGCACATTTTCGCTTGTCTTATCCTTGTTTGAACATTATATGGTACTTTTATCGTGAGAATCAAATTTTATGCGGCAATTTGTTAATTAACGTCGAAATGATTTTAAGGAAACAGAAAAAGACTGAGCAAAGCCGTTCGATCAAAAGATCGTTCGAAAGATTCTCATCAAAAGTATTTCAATCAAGCTCTCGGATGGACGTGTAGTAGGCAGTATATACAAGCTGCGTACGGATCGACTCGCTCCGAGTGCGTGATGCTAAAGTTCCCCGGAGTAAGCTCGTCATTGAGTCAACTCTCGCGTCTCACGATCGCACTTTCGATTCCATTTTCTCGGAGTAAGGAATAAAAGTGCGAGAACAAGCTCTCCGCTCTTGCTTGCCGATCCTCTTAGTCCTAGTCTTAATTGCGTCTATTTATGCTCCTTCGCTTCCGGTCAGTATATAAAGAAACGTGCGCGACATGTTTATGAAGCCAAGAGCCACTGCCACCGCTACTACGTTCTCGATCCTTTGCGATAACCCTCACTCGATCGAGCCATCCTTTCTCTTTTTCTCTCTTTCTCTTTCTCTTACGTTCTTTTTCCCGTTGTGCGTCGATAGCTTCCCTATGCGTGCGAGCTCACCCTAAGCTACACGAGGCATGTATATATTGATCTTTGGGGTGGACGCGTCCTTTGATGGAGAGGCTGTCCTTGCCTTTACGCGCATATGGTGTCACGCTCTCTCTCTCTCTCTCTCTCTTTTCTTTCGTTGCTTCAAATGCCGCTCGCTAATAATTAGAAAAATGAGTTAGTCGAGCGAGATTCTTGTTTTTCGAGATTTGACGAAAAGTTTCTCGTGCACGCGCACCATACGGTGAACAAGTTTTACTCGTGCGTCGAAAAAGAAGTTTGCGGCAAAGACCTAATCTACACAATCTCACGCATTTCTTTCGGCTGAATTTTATATCTTGCACTTTTGCCGAGTATAAAAATTAGTTGAGATTTGAAGATTTGGCAATAAGAAAGAAGTAGAATCTAATGTGAAAATCACATTTGCAGCTAAAAACTCGAAACGATGTGTGTCTCGAAACGCTCAGGGCCGTAGAGCTTAATTAAGCAATTTCGTATAGTACAATAAGCGCATTATTATAATATGGTCGAAAGATATGCGGCAATAGAGCTGAAGTAACAGGTCGACTGAAGCATATGCAAATATCCCCAGATACATTATCTATTATGAAAATCAGCTTCTTCATTTTTTTTACCATTATAATTTCTATATCGTTGGCTAAAAGCAAGCCAAAAAATCAAGACTATGGAATATTATGCAAGTGTAAACAAAGAAGTAAGGCGCGCGCGCGCGAGAGAGAGAGAGAGAGAGAGAGAGAGCAAGGTTGCTGCCGCCGCCTGCGATGCGAAGATGGAAGGATATAGCATATACGGTCGGCTAATTGGAAGGCCTCGGGGCAAGTGCGCGCGCGGGCGGAGTAAACGATCGTTTTTCCTGCTGAAAAATAGCGATTCAAAGTAATTTAGCCCTGGCACACTCGGCCGAAGCTTTCTATAGATCACGCGCGCGCCCTCCACAGGGAGAGAGAGAAAGAGTGAGCGGCACTTTGCAACGGTGTGAGAATATTTAGGAAGGTAATAGCCTGCGCTTCGGCTACTCCAGAGAGAACTCGAGTTAGTGAAAGATACATGTTTTCACGTATATATATCGCCGCTCGTCTCGTAAATTCCTTTTCCGATGTCGCTGTCTTCTTATACATAATTTGCGACTTGGCTTTAATTGTCTATATGCCGTGGGCTTGTTTTACTAATTAAATTTGTCTCATTCTTGCGATTCCTGCGCGACGGCCCAGCGCCGAATGAAAAACAAGTTGCGATCGCTACCTTCTTCCTCCGTTCTTTCACCGAGCGCCGCCGCATCATGGTCGTGCGTCGACTCGCCAATATTTTCGGAGCATCTTTTTGATCTATTCAATTAGAGGTGCGCGTACATTTATCTACGCTTAAGATTTTTCGCTGCGCACAGAGCCGGTAATTACAAGCAGCCGAGCTAAGACGTTAGGCACATAGCCTCGAGCGAGGGTTTGCGCGAAAGAGAACGAATTCCCCGTTTGTATGCATACATACATACGCGCAGTGACTTATAAGTGCGTTTGACAACAGAAGCAGCGCGTCGTCGTCGTCGTCCCTGCCTTTAAAGTCGCGCTCCGCTATACTTTGCCCGAGGCTATATCATCCTATCTCGAAATCCGTGGGATGTCGTCGTCGTCGTCGTCGCGCGCACGAGAGAGAGAGAGAAAGATAGAGAGCGACGTCAGCAAATTGTTCTACCCGCAAAGGATCGTCATCGTCTAATGTATGCGCACAGCTTAGTACGTACCTATATACGATGGTCTGAGTTTCCGCTACTGATTATCTCTGCTTAATTAGCCTGCGATTAAATAATTAACATACAGCGTGTCAATTTGTCCCACGATTGTGGGGGGCTGAGTTTTCCACGAAGATAAACGATACGCAAGAGAGTTCAAACTCACAAGCTCATAGAGAAAATATTTCAAACAACAGTTTTTAAAATTCGCACCATCTAACCTACATTTTTTGACCTTCTACTTGAATTGCATTAAATTCAAACAACAGAACATCTCGAAAGACGTCGTACATTTTCTGTAAAGCCGAAAGCTCGTAAAACTCCTTGAATCGCTCACACGTCTACCATAAGTGTCAATCTCGCAGCCACGTGCTCGCTGACCTTTTATAGTCGGAAATCGCTTATAAGCGACGACAATAACGTTCGGACAATGAGTAAAATCCTTTAAGAACGGTAGCGTCCGAGGGGGAGCTAAACTTTCGATTTACTTTTGAACTTTTGCCCTGGGCCAATATGGTCACGATTGAACCCTTCATCGAAATCGCTCGCGCACTTAGCCGATTTCCACGCTAATATCAGAGTAATAACATCCGAAGCTGAAGCGGACAATTGACAGGCAATAACATTGGGTCGAACGTATGGAAGCTGCTCCTGCTGCTGGTACTCGAGGTGTAACCCAGCGCCTTTCGCCAGCCAAGATTTGGCGAAAAAAAGCACGTACGAGTAAGACAGGGAAAGAAAAAAATTCGAATAAGTCAAGCGTCGGGAAAAGGGCGAGCGGAAAACAAAGTGTACACTTTCTACATGGACTGACTGCATATACATTGGTAAGCGTTTACGCACATACACACACACAGCCACGAGCTTACTCGCAATACGGTAGATATCCACGTAAGCAATTTAACCCCTTCTGTTAGTGTCACTGACAGTAAGAAATATATATATATCCGCGTGTATACGCGTGCAAGAGGTCCGAAGCACAATGAGAGATAGTTGTTCTTGTTGATTTCATCGCACGTCGCTCAGATGCCATCCCCCGAGGGAACGAAGAAAGGGTCAAACGACCTAAGAATCCCAGAGGTCTTACATTACTGCTCTTCGCTGCTGCTTGCGTATTAGATACATACACACGCCCATACAAACTTATGGAACTAACTATGCTCTGACATCTCCCGCTGGATGTCACGCAGTCGCATAACAATCAGAACTTGAGTAATTTAATTTTTCTGAATAACAGAGCGTACATAGCAATCGGAATGTAGGAAGATAACTGTCGGTTAATCAATAATCCTTTTGGCCGGTTCAATTGTTTTATTTAGAGAATTAATATTTTACAATAGTTTTTCTTAACAATTGAACAAATACAATCGTTGTTTCATGCGACTATTTAGTTTGATATTCTGTCCACGAAAGGATATTCAGGGCTTTTTGCAGCTCTGTAAGAAAAAAAAATTATTAACTTATGATTGTATAGCGTACATGATAATGCTCATAAAACAGATACTGTACTCTTTCCAAACATCTAGAAAATCGAATTTTCGATATTCGCCTTTTTGATCCAAGTTCCGAAGCAGTGGCATATACGGGCCAATTTCAAAATTGAAGATATCAATGTTTTCTTTTATTCTCCCAGCATGCGAACTTTTAGGAATGACAACAACTCCTCGTTCTATCTGGTAACGTAATAAAACTTGCGCTGGGCTCTTTTTCAATTTTTTAGAAATCGCTTTCACCAAAGGATGTTCAATAGCCGGTGGCAATTTTTTTGAACTATTCGGGTAAGCTTTTGAGCCAAGTGGACTGAACCCCACTACACTTATATTCAAGGATTTGCTAAGTTGGACTAAATCATCTTGTTGTAGATAAATATTATTTTCAATCTAAAAAATGTTATTTATCTCTTTATAATCTCTTATAATATATATCGTCATTTTTTTAAGGGGTGAAAACTTTTCATTACCTGAAGACAACTTGGTTTTATTTCAGCAGCACGCCAGATTCTCAATACTTGAGAACTATTGAAATTACTTAATCCTATAGATTTGACTTTACCGAGTTTGACTTGCTTCTCCATTTCCTTAATAAAGTTTCAGTAATAGTTTAATTATTTGAACTTGTAAAATTTATGAAAATAATTCAAATACCTTCCACACTGCAATGAGATCAACATTAGTATCAACAATCGCGTTTCCATTTTCGTCCTCTGCTATACCCAATTCATCCGTGGGTACTAGAGAAAACGGATGATGAATCAAGTATAAATCTAAATAATCCAAATCCAAGTTCCTCAAAGTTGCATTTAAATATTTAGCAACATCCGATGGTCTATTCCCATGTGGGGGTAGCTTTAATCAAATTCAAAAAAAAATTTTTAATTAGAGTCAAACGGTAGCAAACAAAAAAATATTTTGACTTTTTAAATGAAAAAACCTTGCTAGTAATAAAAAGGTCTTCGCGCTTCCCATATGGTAAGTGCAATTTTTTCAATGCAGCTCCAAATTCAACTTCATTAGCATACAAAAATGCACTATCAAAATGTCTGTATCCGTTTGCAAGTGCTGCTGCTATTGCTGGTTCTAAAATTGATGATTCTGTCATCTGTGAAAATATTGTGTTCATCAACGAGAAGAATCAATCAAGATTTTAATTGATGAATTATGCATTAAAATATTTACCATGACTGTACCATAACCAACAATTGGCATATCTTGCCCACTTGATAATTTAACCGAAGGAATGGCTCCGACACTTGCCATAACAACCACCAAAAAAATTAAACACAGCTTTAAACTAATAATTAACATTCTTAATCCAGTTGTATTAACAATTGCTTAATTTCGATGAAGCTTTGAGGTCAATGCTCCGCAATACTGATTAAGCTGACTCGTAATAAGATTCAAAAGAAAGTGTTGACTTTTTCCTACCGAGACGGATTTTATATCAAGTAAATAATCGATCAATTACGATGGCATTACGGCTGCAACTTTTTATCAGATACAAAAAACAAATCACTCGAATTAAGTGATAATCGTTCCAGTTGAGCGAATAATAAAGCGGAACTTTTATATATTGTATCTTATCAATTCACATTTTGTAATCAATTCAGAACGACAATTACTGATTTCTTTATTAGCGCAGGTTATAATAAATCACATATTAGAATTGACAGCAGAAGATTTTAATTGATAACAAACTGCGTAACGCGCAAATCGTTTCTTTGCCCTTTATGATTTGCATGGCATTTTTAGATACATATTTGAATACATAATGGTAAAATATTTGAAAATGTATTTAGTTAAAAGGTTGGGAGACTTGGCGATAGTTTTGCTATCAGTACACGCGTCACACGTGACAACATGTTTCAAATTAATCCTACCCGTCAAAAATCTAATTGGCCGTAAAAAGCTCGGGTCGTTTAATTTTGACCCGCTGCCTGAAGTAAGGCCTGCTCATAGTTCAATAAAGAGAGCACTCGGAGTTCGTGACCACATTAGCAAGCTCGAAGCTCGCGAGCACTGGGCGCGCTCTCTCGGAGCTGTCAATCTAGTCGCCATGCGATGCCACTTTGGGAATTGTTCGTGTGCAAACGTCTTACAACGCCTGGCCCTATCTCGAGCATATGAAAGCTAGACCAACACACAGCGACCAACGATCAATCCACCCACTTCGAGGTTTGCAGCGCGTGCAGCAGTCAAAATCTCTTTTGCTCGAGTGGCCGAGCTTCAAACGCCGAGATAACAGCGGCGGAGCATCGAGACGACCAAGAGTCATCTCTCTTGCTGTTTATCTGCATCGAGGATCAGAAATGTATAAGCTTCCTAGCTCTCGAGGAATGCATCTAACGATGATGGCTTGTCGTTGCGACGTTTGATTGAAGCAGGCCTATGGAATTATCACCGAAAGATGAAAGTATTTCGGAGAGGCATTGACTAAATTTAAACCTACGATTGCTCGACAGTGCAATAGCTGATGCTTTTTACAGAGACACACTGCCGTTCGAGTCTTACATAATTTTTCTGCTCACACACGAGTAAGAAGATAATCTTGTTGAACTGCTATCTCCATCTGGACGGTACTTTATTTTCTTTTCTCCTATTTCTTCATTGATTTTTCTTTCTCTGTCTTTGTCTACAGTAGAATAGCTGGGCGAGCGAATGTGCGTGTATATAACAACTCAACTTTCTTACGAGTCTGCCATTCGTTGGCGGCGCGAAACCACGTATTTTTGCCTTTTTACAGCTTTCTTTTCTCCATCTCCGCTCTTAGAGCATTTGGTATGAGAGAGACTACATGTAATTCGACGTTATGGTCCAGGTAGAAAAATACGAACGACCAAGCCACAATTTACCTATTCTTTCATTGTATGCTGCCGTTTATAAGAGATTGGGTGCTTCCGACTCGAAGGAGAGAAAGAGAGAAATTACAAGAATAAGTATGTACGGATCGAATGATACACAGATCGTATCATTGGTTTCAACGAGAAAAATACGTATCATGCAGATGCGCAAAGATCCACAGTAGGACTTGTTCACGATGGGCTACAACAACGCAGCAACTGCTGCTCTGTTGGCTCAGAGGATAATGCGATGATGCACTTTTTCACTCTTGGCTTCGGAAACAGAATAACGTACATAGACGTATGGCGAGCTCGAACGAAACCAAAGTATAATTTGCCCTCATGGAAAAGGACAGGGTGTCCGGTGTATGAGTCGATGAGTAACAGGTAATTTTGGGAATGGTTCATTATGATACTTTCAAATTATTTTTTCGCAGTAACATTACACAGAATAATCTCTATGTATTACTGTTGGTCGTCAAGGTAAGTGCACCTAATAGTCTAGGCGCTGAGGGGGTTTCGTATGCATTGAAAGGTCCCACAAAAAACGAAGTGTATTTCTACGTATTTTGACCCGCTGAATCTGAATTTTCAACTCTCACCTCGCTCAGATGATCAAGTAATTTGTTATAAACAAATAAATTGTTTATACGGCTATAACTCCTAAACTATTGAATTTTTACCAAAAAAATTTTTTTTCATTTCATTGTACACAAAAAGACAAAAATTTCCTTCTTTTGTTCGTCTTAATACGACCAATAGTACCGGAGATATTATTAGTGAAAAATTGTGGTGAACAAACAATATACGGACGCGGCAGTCCAAGCTCTACGCATTGGCCTTATGCAATGTTGCCATTTATTACTATTTTAACAATCGTTTATCAAGTGGGTGCATTACTTAAAGACAGTGGAGTGCCACTTATACAAGTACCCTGGCAGCGTGCCGTCGCTTGTGGGAGTCGATGCGCTGCCTAGCGGCTGGTGGCGAAGCTTGCAGAGGCCGGACTCGTATTCGGATCACAGCGCCGCGTTTCGGTCGCTCCCGAATTCTCGCTGTCTCGTGGTATGGAGATAGGCAGGCTAGAAGAATGAAAAGGCTGGGTTTGCAATAACAAGTTGTTTATTGATCAAAGTCCCTGAGCCGAGCTCTCTCTCTGGCTAAGTCTAAAAAGAATCTTAGCTCTTTCTCAATTGCAAGGCAGGAAAATAAATGTTATTTTTTTTATTTTTAAAAATAAGTAAAAACCATATTTGGAGGAAGCTTCTTGCCAATAAATTGGCAGCAGTTTTGACGAATGACCGTAAATGAAGTTGTATTTAAATTTTTCTGATAGGTATTACCCATTGAAGGTCAAACGCGATTTTCTCTGATTCTTGTGACGTTATAATAATATATAACACTCTAACTTGAAAATCGTCTTTTTGTCGCTAATTTTAAGTTCTTGTGCTATAAAATTTGTATGCAATTTGTGTAATATAAGCTTTTTCAGTAAAACGAGGGGTTGCAACACGAACCAAAGGAGAGTACTGTAACGAGTACCATATCCACACCCGTTACATAAAGTATTATTTTTCAATACTGTTCCATGTTGTACATATATTCCGATACATAGACTATTCTAACGAAAGAATACGTTATTTCCATATTTTTCATTTAAATATTAATTAAAAGGACCCCACACAATTTAAGTGCAAATAAGGATAATTTTCCATTATAATTGTTTCAAAAATATGAAGCGCATTTTAAATGACCTGGAAATGAAAATTTAATGGGTTTTTTTAAATTTAGACCAGCTTCCTACCGCTTTAAATGCAATAATACTACTTTAAGTTTTCATCGCTAGATGGCGAGTTCCTTTTTATACAAATCTGCAAGTGGTAAAGTAAAAAAATTGTATAAGATTCGAATTTTTCAAATGAAACCCTGAACTTCTGCCTTGAGCTTTTTTTTAATTTTAGAGGCGCTACGGGTACAAATAAAATTTTAATTTTGCATGAATAAAATTTTGCAGCTTACCCAGGGCTATATCGTTACAAACTTTGTTTATTAGCCAAGAGCGAACGAGGTGAGGCATCGATCACGTCCAAAAAACATAACTTTAGAGTTTACATAGCAGTGAGATCGCGTGATAAGTCGTCACAAAAGTAGAGCAATTCAGTTGCGCTACTCACGCACGTCGATGTTCCACGACATCGATGCAAGCACGATATATACGTGCTTAGAAGTAGAAGCGACAGTGGCGGCAGCAACGAGGCTCGTACAGAGTCCTATAAGAGCGTCTTCGCTTTCCCTATCTATGTGTATGCATCGAGGCCTTGGTGCGCGTGTGCATGCACACGTACGAGTGCCTCGATGCTCGTGTGTGTGTACGTGTGCCCAAGTGTACACATAGCAGCAGTTAATAGAGTCCGAAAAGAAGGGCTCGCAAGTGACGGATGTCGGGCTCGAGGCCATTACGCGCGAGCCGAGGAGCCATTGGTCACTCTCGTGTATGCCGTAGCTCGTTGCCGCTGCCACGGTGTGCCTCTGCAGGAGCGTTGCTGGTCTAGAGCAGCCGCGCGTGTACTTCAAATTGACGAATGATAATGAGTTCGGCTGGTTAAACGACTATGCACAATCCACTTTGTATTATACGGCGAGCGAGCCCGAGCCAGTGTCTGTTTCTAGCTCAAATTAAACTTACAGCTCCCGACGATTTAATATCACCTCGCTTATACGTGCAGTACGTATGTGTTCGTAAGGGCCTCTTTATCCTATTCCCTGCTCCCCGATGTCTTCAAAGGATATAAACGTATCGCGTAATAATGTGAGAACACCATCTCAATGACAAAATAAATATTTAAATAATCGAGTTTCGAATTCCGAAGCTGTACGTAGAGAGAAAGTTTGCGGAACCGCGCGAGAAACTTGGAGAAGACTTTTGCAGCGGCTTTGCTCGCTCGAGAGCGCGGGGGTATATATGCGAATGTCGTTAGCGAAGTAAGTAACGCGTGTACATGTACAGAAGCTCAAAAGTAAGATATTTTCGCACTCGACACAGGTACAGAGAAAGAGAGAAGTTGCGGCGCACATCTTGGACTTGATACACGCTAGCTCGCGCCTTTCGTAGGTTATAAGGTATGAAAATAACTTTGCAGGCTTGTCTCGCGCGTATATGTACGGTTTGTGCTTTTAGCTGTATCCGTAGAAGAGGCTCGGGTGTAAAGTTTCGTGCCCGAGAGCCGCTTGCACGGCGGCGCGCGTATACTCCTCAACTCGTCGGGGAGAATATCAATATTTTTCTGTAACACGGCTATATATACATCATATAATACATATAAATATATATATAGAGAGAGGATGTGCTCACGCGCAAGAGAGAGAAACGAAAGATGCTTTTTCTCTTTTCGAGAGAAGCTCGGAGAGAGAACGTGAATC